TTTGTTTCACGTGGCTGCTATTGTATTTACATGTGCAATCCTTTTCCCTTTTTTTCATTGAGTTTAAATACAAGTTAGTTTTTTGGAGGTTGAGTTATGTTATTTCTACAACCTTCTTGTTCTTCTTGAGTTGGTTTGGGCCCTTAGGCTCATTCAATGCGCTTGGCACCCTAATTTCACTATTACACCCCATTCTGTTCACCTAACTAAGGCTAGTGGGTTTAGTAACTAGGCCTTGAGGTGATATTCTTGCTACTTTCACCCTAATTTCACTAGCTGCGCCTCATCTGTTTAGATTATTTTTTGGATATTTTTCTTGACTTTTTTTAGATTAATTTTCTACTTGTATGGATTTAATTTTTCATGACTTTTTTTTGTATGTGTTGATTTAATTCTTCATTGATTAGTGTTAATTTAATTCTTCATGATTTTTATTTTTTTGCTAATTCTTGATGACTTGTCTTGGATTAAACTTTGATTAAAATCTTGATGCCTTGATTAATTCCTGTGACTTGGATCCTTATGTTTGGAGATTTGGCTATATTTTTTTGATCCTATGAGCCCGATTCTATTTTTTACACTTGATGCTTCCATGTCTTAGCCTTGTTTGCCTGGATTAATGCTTGATGCTTTTCCTTGATGAATCTGATCATTTGATGTTTTTCCTTGATTAATTATTGATGATTACATGATCCTTTTCCATGTACTTTGTAGATTTTATTTATCATTTTATCACACATGATATTTTGGTATATGTACTTTGTTGATTCTATTTGCCGTTTTAACTTACATGATGTTTTTGCCATATACTTTGTCGATTCTATTTGTTGTTTTTTCATACATGATGCTTTGCCATATACTTTGTTGATTTTATTTTTTAATGTTTCTACATGATGTTTATGATGTGCTTATTGATTGTATTTGTTGTTTGACCATATTTTGTGTCTATTGATTACATGATGTCTTGCTATGTATTTGTTGCTTTCTTTTGACACTTTGACCTAATCCAATGGAAAGGGAGTGTTGTTGACCTATTGTCATGTGCATTTCCATTGTATGTTTTCTACTTTACATTGCCCATCTTTCACGTTTAGCAAAAAAATTTAGTCAAAAAACAATTATTTCAAGAAGTTCCTGTAGAGTACTATAAATGCTTAGGGTGTTAGTACCTTCCCTTAATATAATCAATCCCCGTACCTTTGATCTCTCTTTATTGCTTTGCTTTTATCCTTTTTTTTTTGCTTTGCATGTTTATTTATGGGTTTTTGTTCGATCTTTTCTCCCTTACTTTGCAAAAATAAAAGTTTGGTGGTGATATCTTATCTTTGCGAGTCAAGCTAATCGATAGTTTTGGTCTCTGATTCTCACCATGACACTAAGCTAGTTCGAATAAGTTTGTGTATGTTGTTGTGCCTGAATAAAGTCTGATTGCATGTGACATGCAGGGATGTTATAGTGTTATGGATCTTGGTTGACTAGATGTATTGCTATGTCATATCAATTGAATAGTTTGGGTTAACTGATGTCAAATGGTGATGATGGTTGTTAGTGAGATCAACTAGGGGGTTTGAACTGCTAGTTGCATTTGAGATGCAAACTGAGCTTATTGTCAATGCCTTTGAATTGATTTTATGTGGTTTATGAAAACTATGATTTGATTGAAATTACAAATTATTAGAATGGACACATGTGACTCTAATGTTTGAACTAGAATTGACTAGAGGTCGTGTTTAAAAATGATAGTTACTCTGTTATTGGATTTGTTAAGAAAATGATGCAGTTAGTATTAGGTATGTTGAAATGTCAGTTATTAAAGGGAGTTAGTTGAATTGGCATAAAATGAATGTTAGTGAACCATGAATTCATTTGCATTGGCAACATTGGAATGTTAATGAAATCTTAGTTATGTGAAACTTGATGGTGAATTAATTGTTGATGAATGGTATTTTGTGGTACTGCACTAAATGTTAGAATTGATTTGTTTAGATTATCTAGGTGATGTTAGTTGTGTTAGAAATTGAATTAGAGTTGATATGTGGAAATGTACTGTTATTTACTTGAAATGAGGCTACACACACATGAATTTGTATGGACTTACTTAGAGATTTACTTAGAGATTTATGATGATGCAATGAATGTGTATGGCATGCTAACTATGGTTATGCGTGTCTAACTATGTATGTATTTGTTGCAGGACTTGTGCACATGGAAAGGCTTGGTATGCAAAGTTTTGAAGACCAAGATGAAATGGCTCATGCATGCAAGAAAAAAAGTAGAATCAGAATTTCTTAAAACAGTTAGTTGACTTTGGTCAATTGTTTGAACAAAAAGTCAACACTTGACCAAAAGTCAACCCTAGGTCAAAACATATAAGTTTATATGAAATTTTTGTATTTTGAATTTGTGACATGATTTAAAATGTTTTAGTAATGAAAGTGGCTTCTTCTTTTTTGAATGAATTGTGTAGCTTGAATTCCAAGAAAGTGACTTCCTTCCAAACATGAATTTGATTTTGATGTTAAACTTTCATCCTCTTGGATTTGAACTTGGCCCTGACTATGACTTGGCTTCATGAACGAATCTTGAATATCAATGTTTTGAACCAAATAAACAATCAAACAAATAATATGTAAGATTTCATGGTCAACAAATAAGCAACCCTAAAGTTGACCTCCATTTGACCAAAATCACACTTGACAAATAACCATGTAAGATTCCAAGACTTTGTAGATAGTTCTCACAAAATTTATGCTGAAAAGTTATTGATCAAAATTTTGCCTGCAAAATACACATCATTTAGCTTTTCTTTTCTCCAAACTATGTTAAATGTCAAACTGACTCACACTAGATTTTCATATAGTTGTGAGATGTATACATATAAAGGTTAATTTCAATTGTATGGTTTGTAATTGTGAAGAAAAAAATTCCAGAATTTGATGGGCTAAGATTTATCCAAATAAAGATTTATTTAAGTAAACCTTCTCTGAAGGGTGTAAACTGGTATTGAAATGGATGCAAAAGCATTTTTATGTGTATAATTCTACTTAATATTAGAGTTAAGTATGTATTTCACCCTTATAAAATAATAGCCTTCTAAATTTTATCTTTGATTAATTTATTTTTTTAGTTGTTTTGCAGATATATGTAAAACATCTCTCCAAAAATATAGTTCAAAATTCAAAATATGTAAAACATTAAAATCTCTCTAAAAATGAGTAAGATGAAAACATATGTTTTTTTTGCTTAAAAAATTGTTGATATTGAAAGAAGAGATTTTAATGTTTTTAACTGTATTTCTTCTTCTTTTTTGTATTAAAGGAAGAATATATTAATTCAAAAGGAAGTACAAAAGTGGTGATCCCGTAGGATCCAACCCAACAAAAAAGACCAATTTACATCATATAGCTAACAAGATGCTTCCTAATTTTAAGGTTTTTCCACCCTCTATAGGTTACGTTATCTATAATGTTAGTAGCTACGGTTGTAATATCTACAGGTTTATCAAAAGTAGCACTATTACGATACTCCCAGATGCATTGGATGGATTCAGCCACTAGCATTTTGAAAATATCCACTTTCCAGCCTTTACCTTTAGTCATGTTAGTTATCCAGATCAACTCGGCATCCCAAGGTTGAGGAGTATGAACTATGTTAAACCAATGGAGCACTTTCTTCCAAATGTGTCTTGTTTCTTGACAGCAGAAAAATATATGGTTCATCGACTCTTCCTCGGTATGACATAAACTGCACCGACTGTCTTGAATCATGCCAAAACGCTTTAATCTATCCTTGGTTGCAAGTTTTCCATGGCAAGCTTGCCATAAACAAAAAAATGCTCGCGGTCGGCTCTTATTGGATCTAATTAAGTTTTTCCAAGGCACTCTTGTGCCGTCATCGATCAAAACCTTGTAGAAAACCGACGCCTTAAACTTGTGTGAAATCAGAAGTTGATCCCATTCGTTCCTAATTAGATCCATGGTATCCCTTTGTTTCAAAATGTTGCGCATGATCCAGGAGTTTTGAGTTTTGATTTCATAATTCATGATCTGCTTATCTTTAAAGTAATGAATATGGATCCATTTCACCCACAAGGTATCAGATTTATTGCACAAATTCCATAAGCATTTTAAGAGTAGGACATTGTTCCAAATATGCAAATTTATCAGGTTTAACCCATCTTGAGCAGTAGGACAGCTCATGCGTTTCCAAGCCACATGACACTTTCTGCTCACTGTATTTTTGTCGGTCCAGATGAAACTGCGACAAATGGAGTCAATCTTTTTTATCACTGTTTTGGGCATAGGAAGACAATGCAGCCAGTACTGAACCATTGTCGTTGTTATACTTTTCACCAATTGGATTCTGCCGGCATAACTTAGAAGCTTTGAAGACCAATGGTGAATTCTAGCCACAATTCTATCCACCAAGGGCATAAAGTGAGTGATGTTGAGCTTCCTGCCAACCAGCGGTATACCGAGATATCGGAAAGGAAACGTACCTTCTTGAAAACCAGACATCTCTTGCAGAATCTTTCTCTTTTCTTTGTCTAGAGCTCCAAAAAAAATCCCGCATTTGTTAGGATTCATAATTAACCCTGTGGACATGGAGAAAGCCCTAAAAGTATGAAGAATCATATGTAAAGAGATCTCATCACCCCTGCAGAATAATAGAACATCATCAACAAAGGTAAGGTTGGTGATTTTCAACTTTTCGCATTTGGCACGGAAGTTAAAATTAGGATCTCTTTGCATTTTCATCAACAATTTGTTCATATACTCCATTATGAGAACAAATAGCATAGGTGATAGAGGATCACGCTGGCGAATTCCCCTTTTGGCCTGCAGCATATCAGTGTACTCTCCCATTATGTTAAATCTATAAGATACAGTGGTGATGCCCAACATGATCCAACGAATGAATTTGTTAGGGAATCCCATCTCCTTCATGATGCACTCTAGAGCCTTCCAATTAACCATATCATAAGCTTTTTGCATATCTAATTAAATCATGATTCTAGGTGTGCCTCCTTTCCTGTTATAACCCTTAAGCAACTCAGTAGCAAGCATGATGTGCTGGTGGATGTTCTGACCTGGTACGAAAGCTGCTTGATTATGATTTACCATACTAGAAATGACAGCTCCTAATCTGTTAGTCAGGATCTTTGAAATAATCTTGTAAAAAGTGGTGCAGACAGCTATAGGTCTGTAATCTTGGATTTCAGAAGCACTTTGCCCTTTAGGAATTAAAGACACAACATCATTGTTGAAAGCTTTGTAGATTTTTCCTGTTTCAAAGTATTCCCCCACAGCTGCTATCACATCTTCTCTTATAGTTGCCCAGCTGCTTTTTAAAAACTTGGCTCCAAATCCATCCAAACATGGTGCTTTGAGGTCTCCAATCCCCTTAAGAGTTGTGGTTATGTCATTTTCTGATATAGGTCTGATAAGGTATTCCCTTTGGTAATTGTCAAGCTGCTTCCCCATTCTCATGGCCTCAATATCAATGTGATTGATGTTTTCAGTATTTTTGCCAATTAAGTTGCTGTAGAAGTTAAGCACCTCCTCTTCAATGTCTGATATGGAATTGGTCTGACTGCCATCTCGTTTTTTCAGGTTGTTAAGACAATTGGAATGATGTCTGGCCTTGATAGCAGCATAGAAATATTGATTATTGCCATCTCCCTTTTTGATCCAATCAATCTTTTCTCTTTGTTGCAGAATCTTCCAGTCCATTTCATTCAAAGTTATGATTTCTTCAGTCAGATCTTTTGCTGTCAAAATCAAATTGTTGTTCAATCTGTCACTCCTCAGCTGCTCTTGGATTTCTTTTAGATTAGTTCTAGCAGATACCAATTTGGTCTTAACATCAGAAATAGGTTTGTTGAATTGTTGCAGATCCTGTTTCAAACGCCTGATCTTGTGCCAGAGAACACACATTGGACTACCTCTAAGGAGGCCTTCCCAATTCTTCTTAACCAAAGTGTCATAGCCAGGCATATCAGTAATGCAATTGCTGAATTTAAAATGTCTGGGGGATTTCCTCTGAGTTTGGCTAGTAACCAGATACAACATGGCATGATCAGAGATATTAGGAGGAAGGATTTTAAGAGTAGTCTCCAAATTAGTGAGGAACCAACCAGTATTGCCTAACACTCTATCAATTCTAGAGTAAATGGGACCAACTGCTTGTTTATTAGACCATGTGAAATGATCCCCAATGCTGTCCATTTCACTTAAGCAAGTGTTTTCCATCATATTTGTCAGATCAATGTATTCTCTTTCAGTCACTAAACTCCCACCAATTATGTCTTGAGATTTGATTACATTGTTGTAATCACCAATTCCCATGGATGCCAACAGAAATTTGTTCAATGTCTGTCCACAAGGTTTTCCTCTGATGAAGATGGTTATGAGCATAAACTGCGGTTAGCCAGTGCTTGAAAACTCCACAGTTATCATAGATACCACAATGGATATATTGACTGCTACTTCTAATGAAATGCACATTTACCCTGTTCTTATCCCAGTGGATCCAGATTCTACCATTTGGATGGTCCTTGTAATTGTCAAAATGATTTCCATATATCATCAATTTATCACAAATGTTCTTGGCTTTATCTTCTTTTACTCTGGTTTCAATCAGAATAATGATAGCAGGCTTTAGCTCTTGGAGACGGGACCGAATCTCACGAATTTTGCCTACTTTATTGAGTCCCCTTATGCTCCAAGAAACTAACATGGTTCAGGGTTGATGGTCACTTGATAGTCATTCAAAACCTCAAGCGCCTCAAAATCATTGTTACAATTTATGCTGCTGTTTGTATCAGTAACTATGTGTTTACCTTTATCCCTTACAGACTTTCGTGCTCTTGTCCAAGAATCCCTTTCTATTTCTGTTGTGTCTTCTATTTTTGGTGGTTTAACAGGTGTAATGTTTATGGACAATTCTGGTGGTTTAAGTTTTGGTTTCCATAGTTGCTTCTTCCCACGATCCTCGCACTGGTGCCCCATTTTTTGACATGTTTCGCAGAATTTTGGTCTCCATTCATAGTTCACAGGCTACATTATTATATCTCCTTCAACATTCCTTATGGCTATTTCGTCTGTCAAAGGTTGAGTAATGTCTACCTCAATCAATAATCTTGCATATGAGACACGAAGCTTATTTGCAGTGCACTCATCAGTCACCAATGGTTTGCCAATAGCACTTCTAATTTTGCTGAGACTTTTGGCCCCCCATAGATGCAGGGGAAGTTGGGGAAGTTTGACCCAAATTGGTAAAGTTCTCAGAAGATCCTTCTTCAAATTGAAACCAGTTTGTCATTCCTTCAAGATCACGGGCATGTTTCGAATCGTGTAAGGCCCTTTCATCATAACTGCTTCCTTATCTTCTTGGGAGCTAAACCTGATCGAAAAATAACCATCATCGTGGTAATACAGATCTGGCATCTTCACGAAGTTCCACATTCTCTGCATAAAGTTCTTCATAGTGTTCATACTCAGGTCATCACCCACAACATAAAGGATTAGGGCATTATCCCAAAATTGTATTTCCGTTTCAATATCTTCTTGTTCAATGTTTATTTCGAACACTCCGTTGATAAGCTTTGGCGCAACGTACTCGATAGCCATTCCTCTTGCAGGGTTCCGGTTGTCATTTATCACATCAACCCAAGGTTTACGCTCTTCATGTTGTGGTTGTATTGGTTCTGTTAGGGTTTCCATGTTCTCCTTTACCAAGGTATTTGTCATAGCTTTGTCTTCTCCAATGGTGGTTATTGAAGTGTTCTTCGAAGTCTACCCCGCAACAGTGGTGTTGCTTGATTCACATTCTGGTGTTTCCAAGCTGGTGAGGTTTTCAGGCGACGGTGGCACCGTAGCTTTCGGCCGCCCTCGTCCCCTTTTCACGGTCACCATCTCTATCAATGCTCATAAAATTGTATTTCAATATGTATTAATATGTGATTGAAACCGTTCATAAAGTCATACATAACAATCCGTTAAATTTAAACAAAAAAATATACATGAATATTATTTTTAATAATTATTTTTAATGTGCATTTAAATATAATTCAATTATCAATATGTTTAACACTATTCACTTTTTCTTTTTTAAATGTTTTCACGGGTTATAAAATGTGTGAAACACATCCAAATAATTTTATATATATATATATATATATATATATATATATATATATATATATATATATATATATATATATATATATATATATATATATATATATATATATATATATATATATATATATATATATATATATATATATATATATATATATATATATATATATATATATATATATATATATATATATCACTTTTAACATTATATTTAAGATTATATTTAAGATCTAACGACAATTTAAATTAAATTATTAAATTTATTATATTTTTAATCACATCTTTATCAATTAACACACATAAATATTATTTTTAACATATATTTAAATATTATTCGACTATTAATATGTGTCTTATTTTTTTCATACCGTACAAACACACGAGTCTTCATCTAGTTATCAAATAAAACGCAGTGGGCTCACTTTAGTTTTGTTTTTGTCTGTGGCTTTTAATTTCTCTTCATTCATAGCATCCTATTACAATTCAACATAAAATAATAATAGTAATTATACCAAATACTTTTATAATAAAAAATATTCTACATAATATTGATGTAAAACTCCACCTAACCTGAGATATATATCCCTTAAATACTACATGAGTAGAATAATACTATAGTAATACTAGATATTGTGTGCCCCACAAGCACTAACCTTATTGGTTTGCATATATATGGTGCCACGTATGCTTGTTCTTGTTTTATCATATGAAAAGGCTAAGCACTCTACTTTTCATTATTTTTGGTGTATTGTGTGCAAGTTTCCTTCGACAGTGACATCAATTCGGATAACAATCCACAAATGAAAGGCCTATAAATAATTTTAAAAAAATAAAGAAAAATCGTAGGTATATTACCAATTTATTTTGAACAGCGATACTATGTAATTTACGTTTAATAAAATTTTAGATTACTAAAAATTTTAGAGTATTAATGCTAAAATTTCATAATTGGTAATTTTATATAATTATGTGTGAAATTTTATTCAAATTATTGTTAAAATTAGTGCATATTTTAATAAATTACTAAAATGATTATTTTCTAAAAAATTAATCACCACTCTAATCTAACCCTAAAGTTTGATGTATCAAATCAAAATAATGTTTGGATTCTTTGTGTTATGAGACATGGACCTAGATAGTGTTTGGTAGGGAGCCAAAATAAATTGTATGTGCATTTGTATGCTAATAGCCGACATAGAAGCATAGCATAATTGTTAAAGTTATGAAGAGTTACAAATAAGGTTCCCTCTCCTTCAGGTAATAACATATATATTTGAAAAGTAAATTATCTCTAAATAATTAATTTATTTAAGTTTTTAGTAAAATATTAATTATTTTATTCAATAATATAATATAATTAATATTATTTGTAATATTTCTAATTTAATATCTTCTATTTTAAATTTATAGTAAAGATATTCTAATAAAAATATAAATAAAAAATAATATTAATTTTATTTATTTATTTATCTATATTTGAAATGAAAAAGAATATTAAATAATGGTAAATTGTTGAAATTTAGACATAGCAATAGACAAATAGAGAGATACAAAATGAAGTGTGGCATAGTGGCTAGATATAGCTTGGGGGAAGGTGCATGTGATCAAAAGTGGAAACGTAAGATGTTGGCATTGAATGTGAGTCAAGATGATGGTCATTTGTAGCACTTGGAAGACCATGTGGTAAAATCAATATCCTTAATCATGTCCAACAAGTTGATCAAATGAATGTGTGTGGAAAATAATTATGGTGACAACCGTGAAATACTAATGTCTTTATCCTTACATTTATATTTATCTTCACATTCTCAAATGATAAAAATATTTTTATTAGTCCAAGTCAATTTAATTGATAGTTGTACAAAGATATTAATTATAAAGATGTGTATTTAAACGCGCCACGTTCTATTTATTTATCTTTAAAATAAATTTAATCACTACATCACTTGAAAAAATATATTTTTTATTATTACAATACACTATGTACCATAAATTTAAATTTACAATAGTTTTCAATTCTGAAATGTTGCAGTTAGTAGATTATACTAATTTTGTTATGGATCTTAATGATACGTTAAAGTGTATGTGTCCCTTCTAAATCTAAACTTTAATCTATCTATCTTTTTGCAGTAGATCTAAAAATAAAAAATGGAGAGGAGGTGTGATAGAAATAATAGGAAATGGTATTTTAAGTTTTTGTCGGATAAAAGAATATGTGGTGGTGTGAATTATGGGTAAAGTAGAGATGATAACTTATAATATTATACCATAGTGATATTGTCAATTTCAGTTAGTTTGTTTTAGTATGTGACAATTGAGTTAGTGAGGTTGTTATCTTTTCAATGTAAGGTCAATAGTAGTTAAGTGATCTAAATGAGTTATTATTTCTTTTCTCCTTTTCAATTCTTTACTGCATATCAATAATGAAAGTAATATGGCATTAGGAGATTAAACCATTTCATCTTTTTTTATTGTTCTGCAAAATTTTATTTTGCGTTTTTGTTGCACCTACAACATATCAACGATGGAGGATAGTGATGATGATTCAGATTCTTCCATAGAGATTTTCAACTATTCCATCACTCAAGATCCATCTCACAGGCCTCACATTCCTTTTTACTTTCACCTTGAAAAAAAAACTCGAATTCAATATTTGTCACGCTATTGTTGAATGATTCAAACTATCACAATTGATGAAGAACGCTCTTTCATCCAAAAAAAAAATAAACTCAAGTACATCAACGATTCTCTACCTCTCTACCTCAACCATCGCTATGTGTAAATTTTAAATTTTGAGATTGTGGCAATAATATGGTGTTATTTTGGATAAACCAAACCTTAAATCCCCAAATTGCCCAAAGCACAATTTTCTGTGATGATGCCACTAAATTATCGATTGATTTACAAGATCGTTAAATTAAAGGTAACCATTATTTATGTTTCTCCGATTTGCTTAAAGACTTACATTCAATTAAGCAAGACGATCATACCCTTTCTTTTTATTTCACCAATCTCAAAATTATTTGGGACGAACTCAATTTTTGCCGTCCAACTTCTTCTTGCATTTGCTCCCCGAAGTGTTCTTGTTTCTTGAGTTCATCTACGCACAAATATAAACACATGGAATGCATAACTTGTTTTCTCAAGGGCCTCCATAACACCTATAACAATATAAGAATCCATATCCTTCTAATGGACCATTT